AGTTTTATGGTTATATTTTTTTCTGTTATTTTAATTTTCTTTAAGGGACATTCTCTTAATTTTATTGGGTATTCTGATTAAATTGTGCAAGAAATGTAAACTTTAAATTCTTAATTGTTTTAACTAATATTTTATTAATTAAATATTATCATTCAATTAAATTTCAAACCTTTACAAATAATATCAAGTTTAATTAAAAAATAAAATTTGTATATAAATTTAAATAAAATAGAATTTATATAATTTCTTAATTAAACTATATCTATATATAAAGTAATAAATTAAAGTTTATGGTTAATTTATTTACGAAATAGAAATAAAATAAGGGCCTAACGTACATATGAATATGAATATGAATATAAAACGATGCGGATAAATCACAAAATGGTTCAAAGAATCTTTAGCCGGGCTGGCCCACTTGTTGCATTGCTGGGTGACGCAATTTTGTCGTTTATTTAAGACTCGCTTGAGTACCGAGGAAAAGTTGTATCTCTCCTCTTCTGATTTTTCTTCGTTCTCTGCAATTTGCATGCCAAGAAGCTCGAAAATGGTGATCGGGACCCTCCTTCGATCCACTCTCAGAACCCAGGTTTTCCATATCTTCCATAAACATTTCGTTTTTCCGTAAGCTATCTAATATAATCATATATTGTGTTTGAATCTATTGTGTATCATGCTCTGTGTAGATTATTTCATGGGCTTCGGTGATTATCAATGATCAGTTTGATCGCTTTTTTACATTTTCTTTGTATGATTTATAAATGTTTGGTTGGTTTAGATGCAACTTGTTTGTTTGAATTCTCGTAGCTCAAAGCACTGTTTGGTTTCCAAGAAAATGGCGCAGCAGAATGGAATCCCCTTTGGTCATCATTTCGTTTTTATGATATTACTCGGTTACCGAGCTTCTGCGGATCCTATATTTTAGTTGAAGATGAAAATGACTTGTCGTCTTTCACTTTTTTTCGTCTCATCTCTCAAAGCTTAAACGGACTGTTCTATTCCACAACAATATGTTCCTCGTGTTCGATCCGAGTTGTAATAAATTCTTTTTTTTTTCCTTTGGAACTATTATCGAAGCCTCTCGTCGGGTATCGAGAAAATGGTCGTGAGATACCATTTACCGCGTGTTTGTTTAGCAAAATTATTCTCTCAGTTTTGATTGTGATATATTTCCCATCTGTTTGTTTAGAATTTTAAATCTTAACCCAAGCCTTTTGCTTTTGATTCGTTTCATCTACTGAAAAACAAGTGAGCATTTCGTTTCTTTCAAAACCATGATTTTTTCCTGAAACCAAACCATGGTATTTTTTTTTTCTGGAACCAACTGGAGATACAAAATAATTATTAGGTTCTGCAGGAAAAGACAGTATACTTGCATAAAACTTTGTGATTTTTTGTCAACAGCAAAATCGATTAGAAGGATAACTTTCAACAGTATCTTTGTGACTCACTTTGGTTTATGCCGCCATTAGATGGATTATGGACCTTGACTGCTACTAAGTCAAGAAATGAACTAATTATTATTATTTTTTTTTGGTTTTATAGTAACTTTAAGTACTTCATAAGAGTGCACCTGTTTGATAAAGGAATAAGCAAACTGCTTATTAGGTAATTAAAAGTAAAAAAATAAGCACTCTATTGATTTATTTCATCTATATTCATTTATTTTTTGGTTCTTTCATAAATAATTGTTTATTTTTAAATAAGAACTTGGTGCTTTAAGTAAAGCTCAACATATTTCTTTGAGCAATCCTACACTGTAATCAGTGCAAAGCAGTATGTTTTCTTCATTTACTACTACTACTACGGTTAAACACTGAACATTTGATGATCCTTGTGTTCCTCATCAGGTATTTGGGGATGGAATAACCAGCAAATCGATAGTATTTTCTTATCAAATGAGACATTCTTCTGATTCATTTTCCATAAATTTATGATCTAACCCTAATGGTGCTTCCTTCTAGATAGACCTATAACTTAAGACTACTTATCCCATTGATTTGAGTCTGATTGTAGTTGTTTTTGTATTATTTAAACTGTTATTTTTGTTTTCTTTGTTACTGCATGCGTCAGCCTCTTAGTGGTTAAAGGGGATTGCATCCTAATGAATATTTTGCGAGTCACATGAAGATACAAACATAATATACACAATTTGGTGTTCTTTAGCAGTTTATGAGCATGACCACTGCTGAAAAAAAAAAGTCATTTGCTATGACAAAAGAGGATGGAAAAAAATAAAAAGTAGTTTAGCTTTCATGTTCTGAACAATAACCCATACAGTGGATAAAATATCCTTTGTCCTTGATAAAGTTAAGAGTTTGATGGTAAAAAATATAAAAATGAGGCTGGAGACAGTGAAATGAGTACAATAGTTAATGACATATTGTTGAATTTAAGAGTGGTACAATGTGATTTTTTTTTTCGCCTGCACTGATATGTGAACCTGGCTTCCTAAACAGAACCTGGATTACTGTCTTTAGTGATTAATTTTCAGGTGCCTTTAAAATTTTTCTTTTTTTTTTTCCTGTGTTGGGGGAACAGATGGGTTCATGTACGAGACATCTTTCTGGTTCAAGAAGTTTGCAGGATCATCCTGTGCAGGCTTGTCTACTTACCAGATTGTATAGTACAAGTGCATATTTACAGAAGGAAAGTTCTGGTGATGTGGATGGTGGTAATGGGTGAGTAATATTTCCATCTGTCTAAACTTGATTTCAAGGAACACTTGAATTTGGATAGTACGTACAAGATATATGGGTGGCATGCCTATATGTTTAAGCATAAGCTTATTCCTTGATACTTGCATGCACAATAATCTAATCTCTCAATTTTATCTCAGGTTTAAGGGGCACAATATGCTGGCACCTTTTACTGCTGGATGGCAAACTACTGATTTGAATCCTCTGGTTATTGAGAAGTCTGAGGTACAAGCTTTATGTTCTTAATTCAATTGCCTTCATCCTTCTCTTGTAAAATAACACACCTGATGGTATGTGAATATTTCACTTCGAAAGCTTGTTTATTTATGCCTAATTGTATTCTTGTTATGATATAGGGTAGCTATGTTTATGACATCGATGGGAAAAAGTATCTCGATTCTCTTGCTGGTCTATGGTGCACAGCCTTAGGTATTCACAATATGTCCTGCTTTATGACTATCTATCTGGGAGGAATGATTGTTTCTCCTATACTGCTTCGCTTATGACAACTTCTTCTCTCTCCTTTTTTTGGTTTCTCATTTTCAATGTATCCTTTGTCTTTGTTTGTTGTGGGGTATTGTTTGGTTTAATAGTACTAATTGTTCTGTTTCATCTGAATTACTGTATAGAAAATATAAACTGTATAGAAAATAAAAACTTTCTTTTTCTTTTTTTTGAAATAAGTGTAGAAAACAAAAACTGATGGAGCAAAATACTTATTGCTGTTTATTGTGTGGTTTTATTTTGGTAATACCTCATTGGTTGTTTAATGCAATTCAAATAGGACTCCATAAGCTGAATACTCATTGCTCGTATCAGTTTAGAAATTTTTAAACCAATCTTTCTGATTAGAAATCTTTGTTTATTTGCCTTTTAGTTTAACAAATACTATAGGAATTTTCTGTGCTATTAATTTCTTTTAAATAAGACATCGTGTGGTCTTTTTGTGTTTCCACCTGGAAAAAGATTACGGTAATTGAGTAGATTGTTGATGTCACAATTATGTCAGTTAACACAGCAAACAACAAATATCTGATATGTTGAAGTTCTTCTAGGGGTGAATGGAAAGGCAATTCTCTGTTTCCAATTTCCAGAATTCAATCTTCCCGGCTCTTTTCTTTTTCCTTAAAATATCTCATAAATTATCAACTTTCTTGGTTCTCATTATTGAATGGAGTAATGACCTTTCTGTTTATAGGTTGTGATATTACAAAGGTCTCTGTCTAAAGAGCTTTGCAACATTATCATTGATTCATGAATTCTTGAATTAAAATATTGGAAAATGCATGAGACTAAGGGGTTTGATGTCAGAATCTTGTTTTCTGTCCTATTTTGCTTTACTTTTCCCATAGGATATAAAAGGTAACAAGGAAGGCATAAATATTAACAGAAGTAAATTCCAACCATTGATGCAGTTGGCATTAAAGTAGAGTGTGCTAGTGAAACCCACTGGGGAAGGGAGAATTAGAACTATGGGGCATGAAGCAGGACGATTACCCTGTGGAGGTGTCTCATCTCTGTGGGTTCCTTGTTTACTCTTGCCAATTTAGTATATAACTTTACTGAAGGCAGAGATTAATGGCTCCATTTCTTATTGACTATAAATAGTGCAATTATTTTATTGCAGAATTTGTTAAATTTCCCGTATATTATATCATAGTGCAATTATTTTATTGCAGAATTTGTTAAATTGCCGTATATTATATCATAGTGCAATTATTTTATTGCAGAATTTGTTAAATTGCCCGTATATTACATCAATAAACTATTTCAAGTATGTTTGTGTGTCCTAGTATGTGGGTGTTGGATGATTCCTGTGCTGGTCTTATGACTACATATGCATACATATGTACATACATATATATAATATTTAATTGAAGCATATTGTTTGTGAATGAAAGAAAATTGATTAAATCACTTATCCCAAACCAAATTTCTGCAGGGGGCAATGAACCTCGGCTTGTGGCTGCTGCTACTGCACAATTGAATACCTTGCCGTTTTACCACTCTTTTTGGAACCGGACAACGAAACCTTCTCTGGTATTCATATATTCTTCAGTCTCACATGATCTATTACCATCTTTTATTTTTCTTAACTGCAGAGAAAATCTAGGAGAAAAATATGCAGAAACATTAGGAGAAAATATAGGAAAAAAAGATAGGATCTAGATTTGATACTAGAATTCAAAATAAAGGATAATTTCCTAAATCTTTTAGAAGTATACTTTCTATCCTATTTTTGGGGGACACTGGTTTGGTATCTAACACTAAATAACGTAACAGCATAGAAGAAAACCATGGAATAGAATTTACAGCTTTCTTCATTAACCATGGGATTTTCTTCTCCATGCATCATGCATAGTTGCAAAAAAAAAAGTAAGAAAGATATACTTGACCTGGTACTTTCCATGTTTATGTGTTGTTACATTTTCGCCTACAGGATCTTGCAAAGGAACTTCTGGAAACTTTCACTGCAAGGAAAATGGCAAAAGTCTTCTTTACAAATAGTGGATCAGAGGCCAATGATTCACAGGTTCTAGTCTTGTTTTGTTACAATTTTGTCTCTATCTATCTTGCTGCCTTTAATTGATAGTTTGTCTTTTTTATAACATGGTGCTGCCTGTAGTCTATTCTCTTTCTTTTATACTGATGAAAACTAAAATTTAAAACTAGCATCCATGTCATAATGATTAATCTGAGGAATAGTGGCTGCACACAGTATTGATTAGCTGCCATGCCATCTTTTTATTTGTCTTTTGCTCATCACATTTTTCGGACCTTAAAAACAAGTGTGATTTTATAAAAATGTTCGATAATCATGCAATTAACCATGTTCTGGAATAAAACATCTGTTTGGTCAGATTATGTTTCCATGCTCCTTAAAAAATTCACTCTTGTAAGGTGACCATAGATTTAAGGATGATGATAATCTGATAATTTATGTGCAATTTAGGTGAAACTGGTTTGGTATTACAATAATGCACTTGGAAGACCAAACAAGAAAAAGTTTATTGCTCGAGCTAAGTCGTGAGTTCAACTACTGATTTATTGTTGCTTCTCTGTATTTCTTTTTGCATTGTTAAAAAATGTTTAATTGTGCTATTTACCTGTTTTCAGGTATCATGGATCAACTCTGATATCAGCTAGCCTTTCAGGGTAGGATAAAATTAAACTGATTTCGTCAGTAAATATGCTTCTTATATTGTATAGAAGCTTAAATTCATCTACAACTTGCAGCCTTCCTGCCTTGCACCAAAAATTTGATTTACCGGCTCCTTTTGTATTGCACACTGACTGCCCTCATTATTGGCGCTATCATCTCCCAGGTTGTCATTTTAGCATATCATGGATCATTTTCTTGTAGGATATTCTAGTATCATTATTAAATGATGGTCACTGATGCACACTCCAGGTGAGACAGAGGAAGAGTTCTCAACCAGATTAGCCAATAACTTAGAGAATCTTATCCTCAAAGAGGGACCTGAAACAGTAAGTTACTTCTTGACTGTGAGGATGACAATCATTTACAACTACAAATGGTGTTTTATTCACTACTAACCTGATATTATGGTTACTTCTTTCAGATTGCTGCTTTTATTGCGGAGCCTGTCATGGGGGCAGGAGGAGTCATTCCTCCACCTGCGACCTATTTTGAGAAGGTAAGATATTACTTATTTTGATATGTCAAAGAAACAGAAAGGTAAAATTTGTGTTTTTGTGCAAGGTACAAAGTTATTGTGCAAAATACATGAATGTACAGCAACAGAAGTAAAGAAGGGTAAGGGAATAATTGGGGCCGAAATTTTTGAAAAAGAATCTGCTTATGAACATATTAACATCTGGCTGGTTTCAATACCTTTTCCTTAGATATCTTGAAATGAATTTTTAATATTCTTTTTAGGAAAACTAAAATATAACTGGATTTCTTGAGATCAAACTTGATAGCTTAATGAAAATATAACAGGAATTTATTACATGTGCAAGTTCTGGTGAGGTTTGGCATTGTAACAATTGTTAATAAATCGAGTTGGGTTGTTATGCAGCATTCTACTTTTGTGTTTTGCTTAGCTGTTGATGTCAAGTGCAAAATTACCAAGAATTCCTTGCTCTCTTTCTCCCTCTCATTTTTATTTATAATATTTTATTCGTGATGCAGATCCAAGCAGTTGTAAAAAAATATGATATCCTTTATCTTGCTGATGAGGTAAAAAATGTTATGAAGAAGCTCATTTTTGTTCGTTCCTACATGCTGGTTCCAGGGACCAAAGAATTAATGAAAAGAAAAAATCATTATGCTTTCTCCTATTTCAGGTTATCTGTGCATTTGGAAGGCTGGGGACCATGTTTGGGTGCGACAAATACAACATTAAACCAGATCTCGTTTCTTTAGCAAAGGTGAAGATCCTTGATTCTCAAAGAAAGAGATCAGTTGTTCTGTCCTGATACAGTGCTTCTCTATCTCTGTTGTTTTAATGTCATGTTTTCCAGGCCCTTTCTTCTGCATATATGCCCATTGGAGCCATCCTCATGAGCCCAGAAATTGCAGACATCATATACTCCCAGAGCAACAAACTCGGTAATTACTTGTCATCAAGGATAATTACACCACAGTACCATGCATTTGAAGGATCTTAAAGTTTCTTTTTCTTTTCAGGTTCATTCTCTCATGGATTTACCTATTCAGGGCACCCTGTTGCCTGTGCTGTTGCCTTGGAATCCTTGAAGATCTACAAGTGTGTTCCTTTCTGCTCACCTCTAGAAAAATTAAGAATAAAACAATTCCAACTTTTGGAGCACTATTTTATGGTGGCAGAAAACTTTGACACCTGTATCACAACCTAAACATTTATAGACAACTCTTGAAAATATTTAATATCATGCAGGTGGAAGATTTGGAGTATTTGTTATTCAGACCATTAAAAGTAATTTTTTATTTTCTCAAGAATCCGCAATAAAGGACGATCCACCTGATGGTTGGTCATGATTTACGAACAATGACATGGAGCGATTATTTGCATATTTGTAGTAATTACGAAATGATATTGTTAACACTGGCTTGTTAGTTCTTATTCCTTTTTATGTCTTTTTAGGGAGAGAAATATTGTTGATAGAGTCAATAGCGTTGCCGGAAAGTTTCAAGATGGTCTTAAAGCCTTTTCTGGCAGTCCCGTTGTTGGGGAGGTACGTCTTCTTAGCTAAATTGTTTAATCTGAATTGCTTGGTAAGTGATTATGTGATTGTGAAAGATTTATGTTGTTACACTTGTGGATCTGCAGATAAGGGGAACAGGCTTAATTCTCGGAACAGAGTTCACGGACAACAAGTCACCTAATGATTTGTTCCCTCCTGAGTGGGGTAAGTCTTTCAATTAAGTGCTTATCATGTATGCATCTGTCTTTGTCTATGGTTGATAAAGAAATTGTCCTTGTGGAACATTTCTTGCACATTACTAAGATAAAACGCTCAGGAAATATACGTACACACTCACCCAGACACACACATACACACATCTTGGCATGAATCCAAGTTTTTAGAGTATCATTTTGAAGAAAACCACAAATCCTCCTTCATAACATTGTCATCCTTTTTTTGGAAAAAAAAAAAGATGATAATACTTGGTAATTGCCATGACAGGAATTGGAGCTTATTTTGGAGCAGAGTGTGAAAAGAATGGAATGTTAGTACGTGTTGCCGGTGACAACATAATGATGTCTCCTCCATTTATAATCTCTCCTGAAGAAATTGATGAGGTAGGTTTGAGCCAGTCCCTCTGTTTTTTTGGGTTACCCATGAGAATTCATTATACTGGTTCTGACTGGGAAGAGAGGAAGGGAAGGAATGCGGGTAGTTTTTGTTTTATCGAAATTTTTTTGACTTCTAGTATCATTTTCATTCAATTCATTATACTCCCCACTTAGCGACGCTTTTGTCCTCATTCCCTCTCACCAATTAAAGTTTTTGAGGTTGGGGTTGGGGGAGGAATGGCTTTACATGGTTCCTTTTTATTGGTGAAGACTTGTAGCCACGAGACTCATAAGACCATGCATCGTCTGTTCTGACGAGGTAACTGAATAGCTGGTAGTTTCGTACTTAAGTTCATGCGAGGGTGACGAATAAGGTTCCTGAGGTTTCCGTTATGATAACCCTGGATTATTGTATTGTCTCAAAATGATTTTAGCACTTCATAATAATTTAGTAATTTTATCTTATGACTTCTTGACATTATGTAGTAATTAAATAATTGTATAATATTAAGTTATTGCTACATAATTTACTAATTTTTCATGAAATATTAAAAAACTAGAATAGAGTTATGATATACCTCTTACACCGAGAGCTTATGTATGCGACGATTTGTACGGTGGATGAAAATTGAATCTTTATAAATTTGAATAATTTCAGATGATTAACATTTATGGGAAAGCACTGAAGGCTACCGAGGAGAGGGTGAAGGAACTAAAGGCTCAGCACAATAAGCAATAAGCAAGCAGCAAAGAACTGGCTGATAATGGCGAAAAAAACATGTAAAATCATCATGTAAATTGGAGTCAGCTTGCTCCCTGTGATTTGGCTTCATACTTTTATTAATAAATAATTTTCTGCAATCTGTCTTCTTTTCCTCTCATTTTTGTTTCTTTCTTTTATTTTTCAGTTAATGTTTTGAACAGTTGCTCGTGATTAGCTTAATGCAAACAAGTTTTGACAAACTTGAACTTATTATTTCCACAGTATCGAAATCAATTTTTTTCTTCAAATATATAGTTTGCGGCGCAGAAATCTGCCTTTGAAATTTAGAATTATTGTGCAAGAATTGTAATGTAAGTGCATCCATCTCTAAAGTGAAATCTGCCTTTGTGTTCTTCATGTTACATAACTAAGAAGGTAAATCATAAGAAAGAAAAATGGGAATTGCTTTAAATTCAACTTCTGGCCTGTTTATCAGCTTTTCTCTTAGCTCTTCTTTCCCTGGAACTCAGAGATGACTTGAACCCTCCTCCATTTTCTGCTTCTTCTAAATCCCTAAAAGATTTCTAGACACATAAAAACCCCACCACAAAAGGGAGAGTGAATAATAAGAAAAACAGCCATTTCACTCAATATATTAATGTCAATATAATATAAATAGAAACAGTTGCTATTTAATTCTACTCTCAATCTAAATTAAATATTTTTACGATTTTTTTTAATCAAGATGCAATTCGATGTTGTACTAATGATGTAAATTACGATTAACTTTAAGACACTAAATAATAAAAATACAAGAATTGAAAAAAGAATAATAAGCCAATGTTGAACAAATCAATTATGAGCTCGAACCTAAATTGAAAAGTAACAGTTGTGCATAAAAAATAAAAAACTGAAACAAATAAAGAAGAAGAAGAAGAAGAAGAAGAAGAAGGAGAGCAGCCAAACCAGAAAATAAATAGATAGATATTTGGTTTTTATTTTTTAAAGTAAAAAAAAAAAAAAAAAAAGATAATGATAAAGAAATTACCTCTCTGATCTCAGCAAAGCTAACAGCATAGAAAGTAATAACTGCAGCTGCTGCAATTCCTAATATGGGAATTCCTATTTGCATCACTCCATCCATCTCCGCTCTCTTCTTCTTCTTTCAACCCCTCCCAAAAAAAAAAAAAAAAAAAAAAAAAGAAACCAGTGGCTCTTGATTATTGTCTTTATATTTTCAATATAATTTCTCTCTGAAATATATATATATCTGTACGCACGAAGAAGACATAATAAGCCTTATCTACAGCAAGTTGCAGCTGGGTTGATTTTGGGCCTTTGCTCTGAGCCTGTTCCACTCCATCTTCTCTAAATAAATTGATGAAATCATGTTTGTGTATATTTTATAAATTAAATATCAAATGTAATAAAAGAATCTTTTAGCTGAGGTACCATCTGATAGAGTAATTGAAATAATTAAGAGAAAGAGGGTCCCACTGGAAATGAATGTAAATATCAAAAAATTAGAAGAAGAAGAAATAATTTTTTTATTTAGACGCATGAATGTTATAAATTATAATTTAAATCAATCACTTATAAAACGTGAATCTTTAAAATAATAATAATAATAATTTTGGTGAATTGAATTGATAGGAGAGTGATTAATTCATTTAATTGAATCCTGAAATGAATCCCATTATTAAAACAGCTCTTACATTTGTTTTTATATATTCAGATTAAATATTTTTCTAATTTAATTAATAAATTTATTTTTTAAAAAAAACGATCTACTTTTGGAATTTGAGTTTTTTTTTTTTTTTTCCCTTCATAGACAAATTTTATAATGGATTACAAAATATATAAATTAATTTACTGGTTGAAAAATATAAATTTGTAGGTTAAATTATCTTTTTATTTTTTAAAGCAAAACAAGATAATATTGGTGATTTATTATTTACAAAAATCAAATCATCAAGATTGAAATCTAAACGTATCTGAACTAGTCATGGTAAAAAATAATTACATGTCTTGCGGTTAAGTTTTTTAAATTAACATATAGTCTTTTTGAATTTTTTTCATTCTTTCTATTTATGATGATGAAAAATCGTAATAAAATAAATTAACTATTCATAATTTGATAATTATAATCGTATTTATAGACTAATCGTTTATTAATTTTTATTATTTATAATTTAATTTATTATAAAAAAAATAATAATTTAATCTTTACACATAAAAATTCATATTTAATTTAATGTATTAAAACTTAATCTTACCGTATCACTTTAATCGGACTTAATTAATGTGATGAACTTTTATACATAGTAATTTATACACAAAGTCTCATAATTAATTAAAATCTAGCAGATAAGATCTGACACCATAATTAAATATGGCTAAATAATTAAGTACAATAATATAAACCAGCAATGATTAAAATATGGGAATAATTTTTTCTGCAACTTTCCCATATTCAACAGAATGAAATTCTCAAATTTTTATGAAAATAAAATATAATATGACGTTAATTTCATTAATATATATTAATAAAGTTATAAATTTTATATTTTTATTAAAATTTAAATTCATAATTATTAAATAAAATATAAAATTTTTATCAACGGGTCCAATGTTCCTATGGTGGATGGAGTGCCCATCTTTACAAAGTAATAAATGAATCATTGCCTCTGTTTTTTTTTAAGAAAAACCAATCTTGATGATCAATTTTTTCTTTTATAGAACATGATAAACTCTCCACCTATTTTTTTCTTCTTTTTTCTAGAGGAAGGAAAAATTTATCTTTTCCAATGACTTGGTAGGCATATTTGGTCACTCATTGTGGTGCTATGGGAATTATTAGATCTATAGATATAGTAATGTTGTAGCATCCGGACCCAGAAATTTGACCTGAAATAATTTTACATTAATAATTTAATTTTGTTTTTTATTTTCTTTTTCATGAAATTTTTGAGAAAAATAAATTAAGCAATGAAATTAAAAATAATTTGTCACGCTCCGATACTCGATATGAGGTGCAATTCCTGCTCATACCATTTTCATACAGTGGACTCATAAAATATATACATGCATAGATAAAAAAATATAATACAACCTATCATCTCATGTGATATGTACAGTAACTATATATACAAAACATGATGTCAAAATTTAGAGTCTAACAGAATAAAATAAAATTTTTTGAATATGCACAAAATATACAAAAATAAGAATTCTTTTACAGGTTCTACTCGTCTGGCTGCGGTGTTGGCTCTTCATTCTCATCTGAAAAATATAAGGATGACATTTAATGAGCTTCACCAACTCAATAAGTGTTACCGTTCTCTCAACTCAGATAAAATTTTATTCAAAACACACGGTAAGAAACAAATGCAATAAAAATATTTCAGTGCAAAATTCATGTTTTTATCTTCACTATTTCGCATGTTCTTGATCGATTTGATGAATTCTCTCGAATATTATATACAAACCTCAAATGTATATTCCCACACTCTCGAAAGTCATAAATGCGCTCGAATATCAATCATCATTTCGAAACATAATCACGCATATAAAAGATTATATATACACTCGAATATTGTTCATAATCTCGAAATATAATCACACAAAAAAAAATCACAGATACACTCGAACGGTCATTTCTATGGTTTCATCACGCGATGTCGTTTATGTTGTCATCGAGAAAAGATGAAATGGATAGCACATACACAAATCACACGATAGCCATAACAGGTATGTTTGCTAGGTAATCCACACTCACACGAATGCCTATCCACTTTTGGATTAGGTTTCAGACTCTATCCATGTGCATGTTCACCATACCCGCTGAACTTCAGTCACACACACACTCTCCTTCTCGATTCAGACTAAACGAGAAGGTCTTCAGGATCCCTACCCTATTCACTCCTACCCTCTCATTCCAAAATTCTTAGTTTGTTTAAATGATTATTTCTTAATCTCAATTATTTTTTTTCTGTCTATTTTTATATTTTTATTTTATTTTTTTTTCTTTTTTAATTTTTTCTTAATTGAAAATTTTCTTTTTTAATTTCAGATTTCATCAGTCCAAATAACTCTCAGTCCATTAAGTCTGTTTTCTGGTTCCGTCTCCTCTTAGGGTTCTAATTGTTTAGGGTTACTGATCATAATTTGGATTCTATTTTTCATTGAAAATTGGTTCAATGTCCATTCAAAATTTAAAATTTATAATTTAATGAAATGAATGCACTTTTCAAAATTCAAACCTAATTGAGATTTAGAAATACTTACTTTCTTACGCATCTTTCCGGATCCGCCTGAATGTCTAATTTTTTCTGTGCACACGATATAATTAATTAAAATACTTCAAAATACTAAAAATTAATTTAATCAAATTACGGGTTCCAACAAACACCCAACAGAATATCCAAAATTATCAAAATTCGTACCCAAAAAATCTTTCAGCTTCCCGTTCGGTGAATCAGATTCTCATTTTTTGATAAAGACTTTTCAGCTTCTTGGACAACAAACTAGATTCCCATTTCTTGAGGAAGACTTTTCAGCTTCCCGAATGGCGAATCGAAACCCCAAAATGGTGGGTTCCCATACTCGGGGAAGACCTTTCAGCTTTCTGAATGGGTCGGCCTTTTCCATTCCTGAGGAAGCCTCCTCGGTTCCTGCACGG